ATAGTATATTCATTGGTTGTTTATACCTTTAAGTTTTTAGTATCGTCAATAAGATAACATATTTGCTTTTTCCTGTACCAACGATAAGCCCAATCAATTTACTTCTGATATCCAAATTGATATACCAAATAATCTTTCTTTTGCGCTATCTTCAAGAGAAATGCCAAAACTTTCCTATTCCGATTATGAGTCATTGGCTGACTGGCATTCTATAGTGCTAAAGTAAAGTAAAATTGAGGAAAGGCGAACTGCAGTAATAAAACTAACCGTTTTTTGTGATCGATCGATTCAAACCCCAAGCCCTGGCTGCGTAATTAAAGCATTGAATTGTGGCTTAAATGGCCAGCCAGCAATACCACTATTCCAGCTGGCCTCTTTCGTCTGCTGCGAAGGTCGAACTGGGGCGTGGGGTTGGGGGTCACTTGTCAAAGTCGATTTAGGGGAACCGTAAAACCAGATCCCCAGAGACCTTCGCGCTCGGCTTTTGGGTGCTTTATCTCGTCTCCAGGTGCCATGTTAATTATCGCATAATTTTTAGGCCTGTCTTACGCTTTTTGTTTTATTTCGGTTTTAATTTTTGATAAATGGGCTCAAGTTACCTCATAGTCTCGACGAACAGTGACCGATCTGGTGGGCTCGGATTACCAATATGACATTGTTATCAAGTCCCTGACTGATTGTACGACTGTTCTTCCTGCCACTGTAAATAAACACTTTCCCATTTAACCGAGGTTTACTTTGCTTAAATGCAACAATTTCTCTTGCTGGGAAAAATTTCACTTTTATTTCTATAGAGCCAGTTTACTGCGGTTGCTTTTGCTTTGGCTCTAACACGAATAGCCAAGCAACTCTAATAAATAAACTAAAAAGCCAGTTGAATTGTCAGTCCGCGATGTGAACGAGCATGTTGATGCTGCAGTTTGAGCTAACAACTCATCTGATGGGTATTTTTTATTGCTTTTACATGAATTTATTCCCTAAAAAACGCCCAAATAAGTAACTCACAACCTATTATTTGGTAACTTACTTTAGTCAATACCTTTCTTAAAAGATAAAGCAATTTCTGATACAGTTCAAGCTAAGGCTAATCCCCCAAAGGAACTATTTTCTCCACTTGCAAAGGCTGAAAACGCACTTTTTATGCCTAGTGAAGACAGCCTTAAGCCATTTGGCAAGATCCAACACTTCAAGCCACGCAAATGCATTTCCTTCTTCCATGCAAAGGTGAGGCCCCCAAAGGGCAGGGAAAATGCTTTAGGGAAATTTAAATGAAATCGTGTTTAAGCGGAAAATGCACTCGGAGCGGAGCGGTGGAGCGTGGAGTGGCGAAGCGGTATCTAATAAAATGCACATTATTGCGAATTCGTTATGGCCAAGAGCTGCGCTCTCGGCTCTTTGCTGAAATTTGCTCGCTGGGATGCGGGCCATGCAATTATGGGGACTTGGCTTTGAGGAGGACTTAGCTCCAGAGTGGAGCTCGGATCGAGTTTTCTGCGGCCTTCACCTCGCTTGGAAGACAGTGTTGCGAAGCGACAATTGCCCCAATGTGCCGACAGATGTGCTCTGTCGTGGCTGCCAAGGAATTCGCGCAATTTGCAACAGCAACAGCAACAGCAACAGCAGCAACAGCAACTATCAACTGGGAGTGACTTATGCGCATGCCCAGCAACGAGTTTTGTGGCGGTCGAAAATCGCTGCCTCTAAAGTAAACAAACTTTTCTTTAACTCCCACAGCCCCGCTCACCTCATGCTCTTTCGGTACAGTCTTCGCTCTATTTGTATTATTTAACAAATATTTCTGGCCAGTAATAGGGTAGTCTATTTAAGATATGGATACAGATTGAAATCATAAAACTAAATCGGGTTTTAAGGTAATCAAAATAAATTAAAAGGCATTTATGTTCCACCAATGACTTAAGTAAACTGGTTTTGGGTAATAGCTTTGTCTAAGAATACATTTTCTTGAGTTTTTACTATTTGCAGTTCCTTGTCACATTCTTTCCAGTGGCTTTTCTATAAGCATAGAGTATCGCATTACCGACGTTTCACTGTACATCTTTCTCTGTTCGCGCCTTGCTTCGAAAGCCGGTTGTTTGTTATTAGTTGGCCCCCAGACAATGTTGGCCATGTGTGCGGGTCTTGGTATGCTTGCGTTTGTTGGCCTTTTGACGTCTCCCTTGCCTGTTTCTCTCCCCCATTCGCCCCGCCATTACCCCTTCTCATCCTGTTGCCGTTGTTGCAAGTTCAGTGACTGCAGTCTGCAAGCCGCTGAGGCTTACACGGGCTCGCAGCCTTCGATCACAATCAGTTTACGCTTTGCTTACAAAATTGAATAGCCAGCCATTGATCATCATCAGCGTTTAGGGGGCAGAGGAGGAGCCGGGAGGCCACTCCCCAGTTAGCATCTGCTTTGCATTGACCAACACTGTCAAAGGTCTTTGAGCCACGTTAACCAAATGGTCAATTTCCGCTTGTGCCCATCCATAAAATCAACAATCATGATTTATTTATAGACTCTAAGCCGACAGGGGAGGCCTGGTCGAGCTTATCAGTTTGTAGTCTTTGTGGCACTTGGCATAGTTTACTCACCCAATCAGTCACTTCGGTGCGAGTGACTAAGTACTCGAATTGTTAACTGGGCTAACTATAAAGGAGGTTACTGTTCGTGGTCAACTCACAGCTCGTTTCATTGTCATGTGTCCACTATCTTGGTGAAATGGCTTTATCTAAGGCGCAAAGAAAGGCATGTGGTTTCCCGCAAAAAGATTAATTTTTTGTTTTTATAGAGTATGGTTTAAAAAGTATTACGATTGCCTTCTATTGTCAATAATAGACATTAATTAAATATTCATTTACTTATCGAGAAGGTAGAAATCGTGTACCTCCACCATGGCGTTCCATCTGGGTGGACAGTATATGGAGCTTTAATAAAGTTTCATTCTACAATGAAAGTAATCAACCTGTTTCGTAGATTTCGATGGCAGATGAAGTATAATATCGTTAAATGTTAAATCGTTGTAAAACTAAATATAAAGTCACTAAGTGTCCCCCCCTGGAGATAACGTATATAGCAGGTGTAACAGCGCTTCTTCGTTAGCTTTGTGCGATCGATAAGGCGACTCTCAACGAAAACAATAATTGTAAAATGCAATTGTAAAGCTGTAAATCATAGCATGGAAAGCCATGTCAGACAGGGGAACACACATGTCCATCAAGTCAGAGCCAAAACTATGGCAAAAGCCAAATGCACTTGACATTCTACTAGTCTTTGTTCTTTCAGTTTTTGTGTAGTTGAGCTTTATCTAAGGCTCAAATTTGTACTGACTTAATGGCTTGGTTTTGTTTTCGTATATTTTTCTTTTCCCTTTGAAGAATACAGAAAAACAGCAAAAAGAACTTTCCGTTTGTCTTTGGTATTTTCCTTAGTCTTGTTTGGACACAATTAGTAACACTGTCACGAAATTTTCCCTGTCTTTTGTAATTGCTGGCATATTTGTAGAGCTTTTTCTAATTTGTATGTCTGCCTGGTCAGTCAGTCGGTTCATTGATTAGCTTCTTATACAGACGTATCAGTTCGTTCTGCGGCCATTCTTCAGGTGAAAATGTCTGGCTGGCTTTATGGATTTTTGATGAACGAAGAAAGTCTCTAGACGCCTGACCATATTGGCCAGGTTCCCCTTCTCCAGGTGCATACGTGCTGTTGACTTCAGGCTTATCTGGGTTTTTTGGCTAAAGAAAGTTTTTCATTCTGTCAATTAACGAGGCGAAAAGTAATGTGAACAATATGTATATTTTTCTCTCACAAAGATTTCATATTTGAATCAACGTCGTTGGTGTCCTTTGTGGCTCTCCAATTGAATTTATATCGGCACGCCTCGTTGGCGTTTTATGATCAATTTGGTAAATGATCCCAGCCCTTTGGGCTGCCTTCGCTCACAGCGTTTGATCTTCAAATGAAAAAATGAACACAATATCATCAGATAGATCTGCGGATCATCGCTGGCTTTTCTAAAATTTCCTTAATTACTCTGCGTGCGCTAGAAGTGCCTCTGTGCGTTGTTTAATTGCAAATTTATTAGCAACTGGCACGGACTCAGCAATCTTTGGCTCGCAAAAGCGACTTCGTTTAATTCATTTTTTATTCGCTTTGCCGCTGCGCTTCCAGATACAAGATACATCTTCGCTTTGGCGCCATGCGGGCAATAAAAATGTTTATTTTTGCACACCGAAATGACGACAACCGAGTTTTGTTCAACTCAATTGAAACGGCCTGGGAAGAGTTGGACGGCGGAGGTGGCTGGCGAGCGGCCCCAATAGGCCAGCAGAACCCGAAACCGCGAAAAACATTCATCTGGGAGATTTGTCAAGAATTTCGTTCTGACTTCGCTTAGCCTGTGGCAACTTGATGAATAGTCCGTCTTGCGAAGTGATCGTCGTCAAACTTAATTGTTTGAGATAGAACCCAACAACGCATTCAATCATTATTGGTTCGTTGATAGATACCCATCTTGCCGTTTCTTGAGAGCCTCTTGCCTGCATAATTTAACTTTGTGTAATTCGTTAGTTGATGCCGGGCTGTCAAACGAACAAAAAAGCCTCGAAAATAGCGAATTTCGGGACTATTTTTATGCTGTTTCGACCTGGCTGGCTGATCTTCAGGAATTTTGAGTTCTTGGCTGCGTAGAAATTAAAATATCGCCCGCCTAGCTGTCGAGGGTGTTACGCATTTTTGGCTAAGCAAATTATGCAGTCTGTAATAAATTTTCAAAATATTTTTGGGCACGATAAATATTATTATTTTCATCGTTTGCTGTGTGGCAGTCCTATGAAAGTACGAAAAATCTATTACTAAGTTCTGATTCATTTACCCAAGCTTGCCTTTAAGTGAATATACTTATCAATAAAATGTAATAAAAGCCTCACTAATTAACCTTAATTAACCTGTTTATAACATTTGAAGCATCTTTCGTGTAATAAATTATTGATTTTCTCTCTTTCAGGCTTGATGCGATCGTTAAAAATTCGATTAAGAGAAGCCTAACTGCTTTGTATGGTAAGTCGTTCTCCTACCGATTGCCAATTTGTTGCTACTGAAATCGCTTGAATTCGAATCGATTACCGCACCCTTAAATTTATCATTTCAATTGCACTTTCCCATGTTTTACATGCACGGTTTCGAGGTATTTATGAGCAAAGAAAGTTTCTTGATAAAGCGAATTACAAGTTTATTGGTGGAAGTATCTGTCGAACTCGGTTTCCACCTCTTTATAGGGGAAGTATTTATTACAATTTCGGAAAGATAGGAGTCTATGTTAACCAGATTTAACCACGTTCAAAAATTGGCTTATACATAAATCAAACTTTGAACTTTTATATGTGCTGAAGTTATAGGTCCAATGCACTGATTTCCCTTTTGATAGCATGGCGCCAGTTCAGAGATCAGCGGTTTTCTAGATTCTCGATAATTTATGGCCAACGAAATCGGAAGAATTTACAGAGCGTACGATTTAAATTAGTGAAATGAATAAATGGAAGAAATGGTGGAAATAAATGTTAAGGCTGCCCCAAACAATAAAATGGGGAAAAGCTTTTATTTTGGTTTTTAATGTTTGCCAGACAAGCGCAAACGAAAACAATGTACGCCGAAATGGAGCAGGCCAAATAAAAAGCCATAAAACCAAAACCGAAAAGAAGCCAAACAGATAAAAGAGAAAAACGAAAAACGAGGAGTAGGAAAATGCAAGGAAAATTGAGTTATAGAAAGAACACGGCGACGAAAACAGCGCTAAAAATGCGCCCCACAAAAATAGAGCAGGCCTGTGGATAGAAATGAAAGAAATTAGATGAAAATAGGTTCCATATAAATATATATATATAGCTTTATATATATATATATGCGTAGATGCAGGCTATATATAAGCACACGCATATCAGAGATATTTGTAGAGAGCTCCCTGTCTTAGCCAGACGGGAATTCTTCCCGTTTCCTCGGATTTTCGTCGTGAAAACTCAGGGAAAACTCAGCCGAAAGCTGAAAATTGGGAAACGCGTATTTTTATTCTATTTGGCTTGGCGCTGAGACATTTTGGGACAACAGAATTTATGGCGCTTTTCTTGAAGTTTTCCCGTTGAAATTCGGATATAGGGATTTGCCTGAAAGCAGAAAAAGTAACGAAACTTCCAATTTAGAATAAGGAATTTGTCACAATAGCCATAAAACCTGCGTTTACATTATACCTGAAGTATGATGATGATATTCGAAAGTTATAGTTTGAGTTTTCCCGGCTTATCGCCTGTTCGTTGGACATCTTTTTGTCGTTTATGCCAATCCCCAAGATACGTGTGTTTCTCGGGTCGTAAAACGCTCAGCAGGTCAGTAATTCCGACCCAAACCCTTTGAGCAGACAAACTCAAATGGACTTTCTATCAATTTACGAGCGAGGCATTTAAATGCCGCCAAATTATTCATAAAATAAATGACATATTCACAGGTTCACTTATAGATTAACTCGATGGATTCGATTATGATACGCATAATAATAATTTTCGGGTTTTTGTGGTGCTTTTCGTTTTGGTGACGCGTGTTTTGAAAGTCAACTGCCAGCCAAGTCTGAAGAAAAGTTTGATGGACATGGACAGCTTGGAGAGGGCAACCGACGTATTGTTATGTATCTTAAAAACTTGAATAGGCGCTCATCACAGCGCGCCATTCTTGGATTCTCTATTTGTTGTTAAAAAATGCTTTTGATTCCTCAGCACTCTTTTATAGTCGGTCTTTAGAATTTGCTTGTCGTTATTTCGAAAGCTTGGAGTATTTTTTGACCGCCGTCTGAAAGCAATTTCCAAAGCCAACGAAACCCAAGACAACAAGAACACCAACTTTTTCTCGGAATCGGTAGTCGCTTGACGTTGTCAAAGCCCTTTTTCTTGTATTAGCTGGGCTGAACAAGCTGCGGAAGAGGTTATTCCCCAAAACCATGTACAGGAAACCGAGGGAGAGGGCTAAGAGTTTCGTTTAGTTTGTTTTCATTAACAAATACGCATAAATATAATAAATATTTAATAGAATATGAGGGTTCTAACCAGATAAATCGTGGTTCCTGAGGGGATCAGAAAAAATATGGCAGAAAAAATAAATCATTAACAGAGAGAACTTACTAACTAAGACAATTTGTCCTTAAAGGTTACCAGGCTATACATCATAAAGTCTCCCCAAACCTCTCTGCCTGTAAAGTTCACCTCCCGTTGTGCCCTCAAGCTGAGTTCATTAACATTGTAATAAAAGTGCTTTTGATGCGCGGCCGAGGAAACTCCTAATTAAAATATAAAATATGCAAGCCCATGAAATATAATATTTCACGGTCAAGTCCCCAGGGCGAAGGAATAGAAATGGGATTAGTGGCCGAGGAGGCAGAACCGCTCCAGGAATAATTGTGTGGGGTTAGGAGGCCCTTCGTGGAGCGATCATGGCGATGACGACCACAAAACGCGCTGATGACTATGCTACTCTTCTGCTTGGTTTGGCCTCCTCGAATCTCGAATCTCGGCTCGCTGGCGGAGGCACTTCAGGTGGCACTTTACACTCACTTCGGTACAAACAGTAGCAAAACTGTTCAACTTCATTTGTTTCCTCCAGTGGTGGCTGGCAGTAGTGGTGGCGGTGTCTGTGTTTACGTTTTCCATTTTTCTCGTTATTATTATTGCCACCGCTTCTGCTGGGCTGAACATTGTAAACATGAATTTTTCTCAACTCAATTCCCACGCATATTTCTTGACGTAGTTGTAATAAAAATAATATTTTTTGTGGTTATGGCAGAGTCCCACTCACTTGCCGAGCATCAAGTGGCCGCGAGTTTGCTGCTGCCAGATAGGAGATTATATAAGAAAATGTCGGGAATCAAATGCGTTTTCTCGCAGATGAAATTGATAAATTGAAGTTGGGGAAAATGCTGCCCGATGTTAATCTTACCTGGTGGGTTGCACTCTCTGGAAAAGCGGTCTGGCTATACGATCTGGCAGCGATAACAACGAAAGCTCTCCCCACTTAACCACCTACTTTTGGGCAGCTCTAAACTGTTTTGGCTGTGGTTTCTTCCATTTAAATTAAGGCCCGGCGAATTTGGGTCATTTTAACCGCAATCGCGCTTATTACCCACTTCATATACTCTTTTGAGGTTTCTGTTTTGGTTGAGAATTCATAAGCGAGGTGACAAGATGCTGGGTCTCCTCTGTTTTAGCCAGCCTTACAGCCGTTCTCTGCTTATGGTCAGAAAGAAGCAGGCGGTGGAATTCCGCTTGTTCTGAAATTTGTTTTGAGTTCACACTTTACTTCTTCTGGGAGCCCCAAAGTTATGGGAAAAGGCTTAAAGAACACAAAGTAATTAATGTGTTTACTCCCGAAGAATATGAATAATACTTAAAAGTTAAGAACTTGGGATCAGAATGTTTGTAAGACTTTTGCCTGTTTGCACACTTTTTAATGTTAATCTACAAGTAACATATTATGAAAAATTGAGATCTTAACAACGTTACTAGGTGGTGGAAAGATAACGCAAGATTTTTTTTATAACTAAGCAGTTAAGGTGACAGTTTGCTACTTCTATAAACTTGATCAATTAATGAATGCAAAAGGCCAAATTCGCATGAATGGAACGAACTAAATAATCTGCATGAATGCGCATACGAAAGTCCGAGCCGAACGTGCACCATTCTACACATTGGGCTGAGACCCATGGGAGACGTGTGAGATACAGATACAGATACAGATACAGATATAGATTCAGAAAGAATACTCAAAAATATGAGAACCGCAGAAGTAGAGATTATCATGTTAATTTTCAGATGTATCTTTGTTTGTCTGCCTTTCGTTGGTATTTGCATAATTTTTGGCTCCGAATCGTGAGCTTTTGTCTTTTGTTTGGTCTTGCCATTTGCTTTCTGGCACTTTTTGGCTCGTTGGCGTTTCAATTAAATTATAAAAATAACAATTTGCTAATTTTTGTATCGCATTGCTAAATCTGTATCCGTATCTGATGACGATGATGAAGATGACAATGACGACGACCACGACGACGTTGAGGGACGCCTGTGGGCGTTTAGCTTTAGCTTTAGCTTTAAATTGTTCGCTGCTCTCTGGACTTCCAAAGAATTTCTCGAGATGATATCATATACGGCGTAGTTGCCACTGCAACTGCCACAAAATTCCTTCTCCTGTAACCCAATTGTGTCTGTCCATCAAAGTGATGCTGGGTCGTCTTCCCTTGCGGATCTTTGGCATGCAAAGACCTTAACTTGGCTATAATTTGAGCTGGCTGGGCGGATGAGTCACGAAACACGGATCATCATCAGGCTGCCTGCCTGGCCAAACCAGTCTCTCGCTTTTTTAAGGATGCGCTGATTAAAATTTACGCACAAGGTCATTCAGGCTCTACGCCTTAAACTCTTTTAGACATGAAAATTAATGCATGGCATAAATATTGGCCATCGAAAGCGAGCGGGAGGAGGAGTCCGCGGGATCCTCAAGGCGCATTTAGCTTAATCCGGAACTTGTTGCTGACATTGCACGGGGAGAAATCCAGTAAGTTTGTACAATTTAAAATGATCAATAAAGTGCAAACATAAATTTGTATCGTATGTCCAGGAATTTCAAATAGATTTAGACTTCCTTTACGAATAATATAATCATAGAAAAGTAAAGGTAAACTATATATGTCTTAGGCAGCATTTATATTAAACTGTAATATCGAAATTGATGACCGATTTAAGCCACATGCTTTTGTTTCCAGTGGAATCTGTGGAAGTGGTGGGCTCCGGCCAAGCAGTGAACCCGAGGTCTGACTTTGACTCTGGACCCGATTCGAGGTTCATGGCAAGAGAGCGAACGGATTGGAGTGCACTTCTGGCACAGCTGCGCATAGAAAATGCTTTTCCAACAACGACACATTTCTGTCATCATCAATAATGCCGCCATATAGACACTTCTTGTCGCTTGTCGGTTGTCGCTTTGCGGTTTGCCTTTGCCTTCGCCTGCTGCAACAAAAGCAGCAACAGCAA